TGCAAACAAACCAAATGTTTCCACAGGATCAACCCGTTGAACACTCTTCACAGTATCGTCTGCTAGACTCACTGGCTCACAAGTTATGACCTTTATTAATTCTCTGGATGATATCCATATCTTGGATGAACAGTGAAGCTCATTCCAGTCTTCTTCGCGTAGATGGAAAGTCACCACTTGGGTTTTATCATCATATCGTAAGCTGTTGTGAATTACTGAAGGCTGCGAGGCTAGACTCATAGCGAGGGACCACTTGAATAGAAATATGAAATGCATGAATACATAAATGAATAAAGAAAGTATTCAACAAATAAGTAACTGTGCGCATAATGTGCGCATATTCTTATCATTAAATTGTCGTGCGTTCCCCTTTATTATTTGCCGGAGGAAAGGTATACGTATTAAGAGCTTATGAGTAAACAGAGTTATTTTATTTTCTCACTTGTAAGGGAGCTTCCTCAGCACTGTTGCGATCACTCTTAATGTAAATCATCGGCTTTGGTGTTCCCTTATACCAGGGCGCGACTGCAATCTTGATCTTAACTTTTATTTCAACAATGGGCTCTGTAGTTGTAGAAGAATGAAATGATTTAATTGCTTGAAATAAAAAAAACCCTCTAGAATTTGTCTAGCTCCTAGTGCTCTCGGAGTTTCATTCACAGCAAGTTCTTTCAAATAGAGGTATGCTCCAGAAACTGTATTAATTGCATCTCCGTCATTAATATAATATATAAAATATATATAAAATATATGAATATAAATATATAAATATATAAAATATTTAAAAATACATAAAAATCCACGAGCTGGCGCAGGTTAAGATGCTATGGAGTAATCTAATCCCTTTAAACTTTTTTTTTACTCGTACATGCTAAAAGATTTGACTGTGGACGCCGCTATTTGGAAAATAACTATGAAACCCGGCAACCCAAGCAAACCACGTAGTTTGGTTTCACGAACAGCTCTTGCCCTAGATCTGGATCTGAGAGAATCAGCAACTAGATTATGATTTGAGTTGATAGTGCCTTTTTGGGGTAGATCCGAGTATTTCGAGTAGGTTGCATACTTTTCTTTGCAAGGCATAGATACAGCAGAGGAGATATTACTGCTTATAATAATGATGGTTCAGTTTTGTAACTAAATCTTCACGATGTCTTTACCTGGTGTTCTTCCCAACGATGCCTTTAACAAATTCCAGGATAGGCCGTACCTCCTCTTAAAGTCAGCTGGTAGCTTATTCTCAAGAATGTCAAATATCTCAGCGGCTAGAACGCAAATAACCAACCCAAATCGCTTGTCAATATTTCATGTTCAAAAAACTAGGATATTACAACCATTCTTATTCATCTTGAGTTCCCCAAATCAATAGCGTACAGATTTACTTTGTCCATTTTCTGATATTAAGACAAGTGTGGATAAAATGCGAGGGTGTTTTATCTTCCCTTCCCGATCATTAGGATAGTCAGTATCAACGAGCCAAAATTGTAAATACAAAGTGTAATATAATTATTAGGAATAGCCCACAGCTTGAGGGTTGTTACCGGGCCCTTCAGCGAAACTGAATATTACAAACTCAGGCACTGTTACTTACATTTCTAAAAATGATAAAAGAAATGAATATAACAATAATAGGAAATGATTATGGAACAATTAGTTCTCTATATTGAATGAGCAAACTTTTCCTGCGGCGCAAGCGTTTTTTTTACAGGGCGAGTGTTATCATTTCGTATGCGAATATTGCGGAAAAGAGAACTGGATTAAGAATTGGAACTCGTGATATTTTCTCAGGGTTTTCTTGGATACAAAACGTCTAATCGATCTGTATTTCCAGTGCTCGAACGATATGAATACGCTGCATGCTAACAGATAAATTAAAAAATCGATATGACCTCCTCCTTTGAAGAGTGGTTGTGCCTGATGAATAATTCGAAGCAAGGTCAGAGGCGAAGGTGAAGTGACGCCAATGGAATGAAACATCTCGTTCGCTAGATTGAAGCAACGCTCTGTGAGACTCAGTAGCGCTTGAACAACGTCAGGGGTTTTATCTGAAATTGCAAGAAGTATTTGTAAAGTTGCAGTTGTCACAAGGTGAGATTAACTGGCTACAGTATCACGCACTTTCAGACGGACTGGAACTTGCCTTGGCTCTTTCAACGAAGAGACTGCATCCTTCCTGGCTAGAATTCCCATCAAAACACGAGTACCTCCCCTCTCGCTCCGCCTTCCACCCTTCTCCTAGCAGTTTTTGGCTGTTTCAATTGTTTTATATTCCCAAGTAAAGATGGAGCACTTGTTCAGTATGACAGAAGCTGTGTGAAAATGTTGTCTTTAGTACGCCTCAACTAACCTATTGTCAGTAAAGTCCTTTTAAGGTCCGCCTTGACCCAGCAAAGAGTCTCTTCTGTAGCTTCCACTTTGTCCGGAAGTTTTCTACACCAAAAAAAACAAAGCAAAAGAAAATAACAAGAAAAATAAACAAACAAATGAATATTAATGCCACGTGGTACAACGGAAGCCTCAGTCAAAGACCTTAGTCCCTATCACTTGGCAGCTGACTTTGCAAGCAAAATGACATACAATTTAATTTTGAAGAAAAATTGCTTTTCGTAGGATAAAGGACAGGCTCAATTGGCCTTCTGACATGAAATTTCCGTTAATGCTTCGCACGATAAAAAAATCATAGCAATCATTCTTTCATTTGGGTATTGCCAAATCAGCAAATTGAGGAAAACCGCATCGGTGGTATATGAAAGGATGCAACATTTGATATACTTTCAAATCTCCCCTCCCCCTTGCCTCCCCCACTCCATCGTTGAAGAGAATTCATATGGCCATATGCCGAGCCTTAAATGTTTCAAAAGATGGTTTCAAAGCTGCCACAGTAAAACAGGCCATCGATGACTTGTAATATACATGACCACACAACTAGTCCGGTAGACTGCATCTGAATGTTATGTTTAATTCATTTCATTAGCTTAGCATACTTGCTTCCCAATTCGAGATCAACAGCCAGCTTCAAGTCAAGAACTGTCGGGAGAAGTTGCAACGGAACACCAACACATTTGTTGTAATACTCCTCTATACTGTCACATTCTCCGCACCATAACATGCTTGATGTGAACAACAGAGAAGCAGTTGGCCTGTTATAAATATAGAAATTATGAAAACAGGAATTACTCAGATTTCTAAATACCCCTTGTGTATAGCAATTACAGTTATAAACTAGTTTTAAATTCATACTCCACCATGAGCTGACTTCGGATCCATTTAAAGGGATCACTGATCGGGCTTTTAACTCTTATGTATAATTCGAGTGAACAGTTTGCTCCGCCTGAACCTCGCTTTAGAAAGAAGACGAAAAGGTTAAACATCCATTACGCATCAAGATAGTTCAGCGTCTCTGCGCACTGGAAATTTTGCTTTTTTTGCTTTGGTTTTACTTGCTTTTTTTGTTGTTGTTGTTTTGAGAAGGATGTTCTTTCGGTCGCTGTATGTTTCGCATATGGCCTTTTTCTCACGGAGAATGAAACACATTGTCCTCTTCAGCGAGCATTAATCGCCTGCGACTAAGTTTGATGTATTGGGGAACAGCGATGGGAGTTGTTCTTTTAATAACAAACTTATTTCGGCAATAAGAAACTATACTCGGAAACCACAATGCTTTCCACCTCAAGCTAGAAATAACTTAATTTAAATCGATATATCCCGGCCAACGCCCTGATTTCCCCTCACTGTCCCATTATGATTTCTTGGATGACAAGGATTAAAGGAGTTCTCCTTAACAACCCGAAAAAGGTCAACAGTCACTGTGGTCACGGCAACGATAACAATGGTAGTGAGGAATGACAAGATGACTTACACTTTTAACCTCGGGCCACAGCAGACAACGACATTCAACAAACCAATGTGATCGCTGAGATTACTTGTATCGATAACGTCGAATAACATGTCAGGCGGAAAGCCACTTGTACACAAAGTAAGGGCATCGCCGGTCCACAGGGTAACCTACAAAACAACATTAGTTGAAAGATGATGTTATTCAATGAATGATACACATACTCCGATTGCTCCAAATTGGAGCAAATGAAATTTGACATTAGTAGTATACAATACATGGTAACAGCTAACGATCGATATTTCATCCACAGTGGTCACTTGACACTACGCGAGACTGAAAAATACTTTTCGGCATATTTATTAGATTGAAAGATAAATGTTCGCTGGATCGACAGTTGTTAATGTTTGGTTAGCAGCTCGAGGATCGAGCCAAACGCAGTAGGGAACTTGATGGATCTTGAAATCGTACATACCAGGAGGAACGGGCCATGAGGTTCAGGCCTCCAGATGACCATAAAGAGCGAAAGAGTTCACATGGAGCTAAAGAGATCTGGAACTACAATTTAGGGATGCTATGCCGCTATGCAGTTCTTTAGGTATTCTAGCCCGTGTAAAACACATGCAAACGCAATGTCTATTAAAAACGCAAGGAAGATAAATTTGGGCTACCTTAACGTGTAGAAGTGCAATTGTGACCTTATCTTTAATTTGTTGTTCGCATTTGACACGTGTGTACCGGGACAACAAGAAAGCATATAAAACCATCCCGCACGGTAAAAAATTGGATAAATTAACAAAATATAGAAAAGATAAAATTTTTTCTAAGTTACCAAGGTTGGATTTGAAAACAAGAGGGCATCAACCTCAGATAAATAGGTAGAGACTGATATGAAGTATTTTCTTAATACGACCGCGCCATGTTTTTGTCCGCGATCGTCAAGTGAACGTCTTTTTCATTTGCATTAGCCATTGCGTTTCAGACTGTGTCGCACCCGTTATTTGGCCATACTGTTGCAAGCTTCTTGTGCAAAGAGTGAGAAAACAACCATTGAGCTCGGGCAATGATTGTTAAAAAAACGTCAAATGGGTTGCATTGCATTCCTTATTTGTTTATTTACCCAATCACAGCGCACCATTCTCCGAGCTTACTTAGTTATGAGCGTATATACTGGCGTATCTGCGAAACATAATTCACCTTCAGAGTTGCTTGATAATTCTTATTTTGCTCCTGATATCGTTTTACCCACACTGCCAGCTTTTCCTTGCAAACATCCGCACACGATTTACCTTGTTCGAGGTCTTTCCTAGAAGAGAAAAATGCGTTTCGTTACAATTGCATAAATGACAAAGCGGACATATGCGAAATGTGCAAGCGATCGAATTTCAAGAACTGCAGATAAAGATGCTGGCTAACCCGATGTAAAGCAGACATACCTGATGTAATAACTTTAGAAGTATACGCGTATGCAAGACAAACATGAGTAATCCTCATTTTTATTTCCGAGAGTGACAACAGTTTTATCACAAAAGAAAAGGAAAAAGATAACGCAATCTTTTAAAAACCCCTTACTTCAGGTTACTTTACTTACGTTATGTCATATAATGAAAAACATATTCACAATTTTAACTTTTGACTAAGTCATAAAGTTTCTAACTTTCATTTATTTTTGTTTGCTGGCGAAAATAAAAATTTCCATTCCGTTTG